CCTTTTATGTCTTTGGCATGTGAAGTAGCTCAAAAACTTTTTCACAGAATAGAATGGTTTGTTTCTCCTTCCTAACTTTGATGGAAGAACAAGTATGTTAGTTAAGTATATTTATAAATAACAGGCAATTGTCCCCTAAACAATCACAAAGCTGCCAGTAGGGCAGCATTGATTCTGTTTTTTGCTCGTGAATTTCCCACACCCACTCTTAGGTAGAGATGTTAGCTCATGTAGGACAGGCTGAGAAAATCTGTCAGTTGTACTTACAAAGATAGAGAATCCACTGAACATAGCATTAGACCAAATGATCAAGGTCTAATTCAGAATTTCCTGTTTCATTTAACAGTATTTTGAATGTGTAGTTAGTAAGTAGAAGATGGCTGAAGATGAGGAGAATCATCATACACTTTTTTAACTAATTAAGTTTACTGGTACATTTAGATTATCATGTTCATTATAGGGAAGTTGTACCTGTGTGTGATGTAACTTGATTCTTATTTCATTCCTCTCCTCTCCCTTCACCCCTTCTTCCTTTGTTTTCCCATCCTTTCTGCCCTTTTTTTCCCCTATACTTTTAAGTCAATGAACAATGTGAAAGAAGTTGAGAAATAGAACTGGTTTTAATATGAAATAGTAGTGAAACCAAGTAAAAGCTTGTTGCCTGACTCTAGATAAAAGATAAGAAGGAACTGAATTAGGACGTGTCTAGGAGGCAAGATCTCAAAGACATCGCAGAAGTATACTTGACCAGACTTAGTGATCAATGAGCATATTTCTTTAAGAAAAGCTTCAGTATGACTCTATTTGCTAGTGTGTGTATGATCTATTGGTGATTTTGTCATTAAAGACAAGACCATAAATAGGAGAAATGGGTTTTGAAGAGAATATTATGGATGATGGAGTTCCAGGGGCCAGGTTTCCAGATTCTTGCACACAAAACAGAATTGAATATTATATATAAAGGTGAAGAAAAACTGTCTATGTTAATAAATTTTAAAAGGGAAAGATCGCTCAGAGTGGGTGGGCTCATGCCAGCAAAATAAAGAAAATGTAGCAGGAGAAATCAGAATAAATTGGATTTAAGGATTTGAAATGTGTGCTCCAAACCTAGGGCATCTCTCATTGGATCTTTCAGAGCATGATTGACAACATGATTGGTGGGGCACATAGTTATCTCTACTGACTGAGCAAGCCTTTTCCCATAAGTCACTTGGTCATAATTGAGTGCATGATATGAAGTCCATGTGTACGAAACTTTAGTAAGTTCCAAGTGAAGAAAAGTCATTGTAGGTCATGCCAACAGATCTAGCAGTATATAACATTGCTTGGAATTTTAAAACTTTCCAACAGTCTTTGTTATTTTTATCTCTCTTTCTAGGGATTGGACCTTATTAAAAGGTTGGCAGGGGTGGTATGGTAGGGGGGTAGAAGGGTGGGGGATGACCCCAGGAGGTTGTACTGGCTCAGGGGAGTGCAAGGGCATGGTCTTGTAGCTCCAATTGTATTACCTGCATTATATGTAATAGGTTTAGTTTTAATACTTGTATTTAAAGAGCCAGCAGGATCCCCTACAGATGCATCAAAACAGTAAGCAGTTAGAAATGTAGCTTTGGAGCTTAGCTGAGATAGAGTCAGAGTACTTCACATCATCAGAGGTTAGTCATTTTAAAATGAGATCAAATACTGTGATATACCCACATGGAAAAAGAAGAGCAAGACTCCAATCTGAATTTTTTTTTCTATATCTCTGTCTCCATCTCTGGCTCTGGCTCTGGCTCTGGCTCTGGCTCTGGCTCTGACTCCATCTCCAGCTCCGTCTCCGTCTCCATCTCCATCTCTGTCTCTGTCCCTCTGTCTTTGTCTCTAACTATCTATCTATCTCCCCTTGTATATATTATCTGTGTATCTGTACGTATATCATGGAAATAATAACTGCTTAGTGACAAGAAAAAAGATAGTCCCCAGAAATAGAAGATAATTCATAGTCTTGAGTGCCAAAGATAAAAGATTTTCAAGAAATGGTAGGTGGTAATTAATTGCTAGGAATAGATTGTTGCAAAAATTAAGCTATGGGAATTTGGAGATTTAGAAGTAACTGGTCAAAACTAGAAATAGTTCAAGGTCCATCAACAAGGCACTAGGCAACCCCATAGCATATCTTCATACAATGGAGTGGTGCTTTGCAATTAAGAGGAATGATTATTGCTATACGAAACAGCATAGGTCAATCTCAAAACGTTGTGTTGAACAAAAATGATTCCCATAAAAAAAATACATTCCTTGCGATTCTATTTGCATAGTAACCAAGTATAGACAAAACGAATCTATGGATAATGGAAATGTTAAAACAGTATGCTCTGAGGGTAGTGCGAGAGGATGTGGTGATGAACGTTAGAGAACTTTCTTATGACAGTAAAGAACATAAGACAACTTTCTGGTGTGAGGAAATGTTCTTTATTTATTTATACCCTTGTTTGAGGTTATTTCTGGTCCCCAAGACTCCTTGAACTAAAGATCTGAGCTTACAAATAAGACCACTGATCAGAGATGAGAGATTGAATACCTGGATTTGCATGCTTCTAAATATTTCTAGAGAAGTATTTTCTCACAAAAACAAATGTCCACACAGAAAGTGCAGCTATAAAATTCCATAAGAGATAAAAGAAGTATGTAGGAGAGCCCTGAGTAAGCACATGAAACAAAATCTAAATGGTAAGGGAAACAAGTCATAGCCCAATTTTCACTACAGGAACCCTAAGATGTTCAACAGTTGGTGGGGAAGACAAAAATAGAATAAAAGGAAGAGGATTGGTTAAGCTTACATTTTAAAGTAGATAAAGGCATTTATCTAGACAGTTTGTATTCCAGTCTATACCTAGGCGATTTCTCTCGCTCAGCATCAGAAAAAGACCAAAAGTTGATTCACCAGAGAAGCTAGAAGTCATGTTTCCCTAAACTGTGGAACATCAGATGTGGTTGAAGGCACAGACACTGATGAAAGCAGGAGCCTACATGCAGTTTGCGTGCAGCCTAAATGTCAGCATTTCCAGGCCTCTTCTATTACTCAGGTCCAGAACAGTAGAAAATACACTCAAGGGGAATCTTAGTCCTGAGAAATGTGATCAGCTCATGACAAAGAACAAAAGGAGGCTAGCCAGTCCCAACTAAAAAGGACAGAAGGTCTCCAGATAAATTAAGTCTGTAGACTATCTGATATGACAGAAGACTAGATAACTGGAGAAGTGTTTGAATTTAAGAATAAGCACATTGGGAACTACCCGCTCGGGCCCCCCTCCTGTCCCTCTCTTGGACAGGAGCTTTCTTTCTCTCAATAAATATATTCTGCTCATAAAAAAAGAATAAGCACATTGAAAATAATGGGGTGCTTATTCATGCCAGAGACAATGAAAAGTTGAGAAGGAAAAATAATCAAAAGTATGACACACATGTGACTAGCACTGCCATAGTCATCATAAACCGTAAATATTGACTTAATCAAAATTGCAAGTTTGTGGCACAACTATTTAGGTAAGGCAAAAGTTTGAGAGTGCATGGAGAGATAAAGGATGGAGAATAAAAGAAAACAAAATCAAGTTTCAATCAACAAATTCAATAATTACCTAGCATGAAAGATGAAGTTTAAAAGCATTGCTTTCAAAAAATGGTAAGTAGAAAAGGATACAAAAATAACATTCAATTAAACCTAATGCATTTGTAAGTGTGATTTTTTAAAGAAAGGAAATCAAATAAAATAATTTTATAGGTAGCTAACTAATTGGTTAATCTGCTGAACACAGAAACAGAAACTACCCTCAGAGGTAGTGTTTCTTTTCCTTAAAGAAAGGAAGCAGGTGAGATAGATAGTTTCCTAAGATACAAGTCCCAGGGGATAGGTATCAAAGTGTAGGTGTAGTTTAAAAAATAAATAAATAAATAAATAAATAAATAAATAAATAAATAAGGGTTAACTTTGAAAAAGAGAAAGATTATATTTTCCTGTAAGGTAGAAGGGAGGCAGGCTAAGTGAGTATTTAAGTACATTGTAGGATGAAAGAAAAATTGCTAAAAGAATTTCCATCCGCTAGCTTCTATCTGCTCACTGGTAGCAGTACTAAGCCCTCAGTTGAGAACATTGTTGATGGCCTGTGACTTAAAGCCAAACAGAAGAGGAAAATGTGAAAGGAACTTTGGAGAGCAATTTGGGAGCCTAACTGAAGGTGAAATATCAAAATGTACAGATTAGTCATCATGAACTACCATGATAGACTGGCACAGAACAGGCGGTTTCAGTGGCAGAAATTTATTTTCTCAGAGTTCCAGCAGCTGGGAGGTAAGACTCTCCCCAGTGTTCAGACAACCACTTTCCTCTGTGTCTAAGAGAGAGGTGGAGGAAGAACACAACACACAAACTCTCTGATGGTTCTTCTCATAGCAGCACTAACCCCATTGGATCAAAACTCCTCCCTTTTAACTTGTGTTTTTGGTCCTTCATGACCTCTTTTCCCCAACTAAATATGCTCACTCTGGGAAAGTTGAGCTTTAGCATCTGAGTTAGAAGAAACACCATTTGGTCCATGGCATATTTAGTTCAACACTATAATGTTGGTTATTTTTCTATGTGCACTCACAGAGTGAAAGAGAAAAGACAGGGCTGAGTTGGTCTGTATCTGGGGAGAGTCAAGGTGGCAAATGAGGAGACAGCAAAAGCCTCTTGAAATGATTGCCCATGAGTTCCAAGAATGGCAGATGGAGAAGCAAAAAAAGGATTGGTTTCAGACTAGAAAAAGGGCAGGGATTGGTTGGCTTGATGGGAGAGCCCCCTCGGAGCAGAAGACCAGAGCACCAATGGAAGCTGCTTTATAGTTCTCCATCCAGAGGGGTGCAGTGCTGTCCTGGGACACTGGGGGGGGGTTGTTACTGGAGAAAAGAAGGATTATCAAATCAGAACAAATGTTTAGGTTCACTAGTGGTAGTGATCATGACATTTTCTTTCTCTTCAGACGGCTAAACACATTGAATAAGTGTGCCTCAATGAAACTTGATGTGAACTTCCAAAGGAAAAAGGTAAGTGTCTACCCACTAGAACACCAGAAGCAGCTTGCATTCATGGGTTGAAACCATCCCAGGCCAAGGCAAATTCTTAAAAGACCTTACTGTCTACATTTCTTCATCACAATTTCTCATTTTTTCACAGTTGTCTTAATGAAGTCCATTATAAGCCTGTGCTTAGGTCTATGTTTGTTTCACTGTTTCAGTTTGCTTTCATTTTCTATCTTAAGGTTTGCATAAAGAAGTTAATCTTTCAATTCTTTAATAATATTTCAGAAGTTTATAAATGTCAATCCCATATGAGACTTAAATATTCCACAGCAATTAGTAGATCAAGAATGAAGAAAAGTGCCTTGTGCCTTCTAGTTTGTTCTTTCCATGGTTTGTTAATTCACTTACAGGTCAAATGAGCATCCATCCTCAGGCACTTCATTTGGTGGAGATGCGAAGGAGCCAGGGACCAACAAAACACAAAGCCCACCTCCTCTCTCACCCTTCTCTTTCCTTGCACTTTTCTCAAGTCATAAGGACTTCGGTTCAGTGTTAGCAGCCACTCTCCCCTTGCTCTCTCTGTGACTTTGCATGTGCTACTCCCTCTGTGAATGAGACCAGAAATTTCCATTGTTTTGCAGACCTTGTGCTCTTTCTTATTAGTACATATTTTCAGTATGTGAAGACACATTCATTGTGGTGAGTTGGTACATGTACGCAACACATTTTACGTCTTTGTGTTATCCCTTTTTTTAATTTTTTATTTTATATTTTCGTGTATTTGGTACAGGGTCTCTCTACACAGCTTGGACTCAGGGATCCTCCTGTTTTCAGCCTCCCAAACGTGGAGATTACAAGTGTGCGCCACCACACCCAGACTCAGTTGCTGGCTCAGTGCACCCAGGGGTGGGGCTGGCACAGCATGCGGGACCAAGGATTGAACCCTGGTCCCTGTGTATTATCCCTTTTTGTACTTCTCATCTCTTGCCTTCTTCCAACTCTTGGTTTATTTTGCTCTTCTATTTACATGTTGTGTTTCCCATATAAGAGAAATCATGGAACATTTAAACTATGTGTCTGGTTTATTTTGCTGAACACTTCTGTCTCAGGGAACACCCATTTTCCTACAAATGAGTCAACTTTATCATCTTTATAGCAGAGGAGTGCCTCACTGTGTATAAATACCACATTTTTTTCTTTTATTTTGCTCTTTGTTTATACTTTGATTTTCTCATATGAGAGAGACCATACAATATTCAAGCTCTTTTTTATTTATTTCTCTTAGTATTATGTTTTCAGGGAGCAACCCTTTTCCTATAAATGACTCAAATTCATTTTTCTCCATAGTGGAGCATACTGTATTGCATATAAAGAACGCAGTTTCTTTTTTTTTTTAATCTTGTGTAAGGAAAAAAATTTCATAACAAAATAAAAATAGTTTGTTAAATAGCTTGGAAAATAAGCTAATATTCTGCATGTTGTTATCTTTAAAGTAGTTGCTCAAGTCAGGAGTGGTGGCACACAGCTGCAATCCCAGCACTTGGAGGCAGGGGGACTGGCCGAAGTTCAAGGCCAGCATGGGATGTTCAGTCAGTTTGAGTCCAGCCTGAAAACTACAAAGGGAGACCCTGTCTGTAAAAAGCAAACCCAAAAAATAAATAAATAAATAAATAAATAAATAAATGATAAACAAAAATAATTAATTGCTCAGAGTACAAGATATGGGCAAAAAATTTTTTTCCAATCAATATTAGGGCAAACCTTCCTTTCCCATGAACTAAGAGACACTTAGTATAACTGACTTGCCATCTTTTTTCCTTCCATCCTTTCCCCTTCATCTTAATTCCTTCTTCCTTTTGAATAATTCCTTCCTGTTTCATAATATCTATGGTACATTTTAGACCTTATTTACCCGTTCCTTGTGTCATACCAGGGAGACAATACAATGTTTATACATGTGAGTCTAATTTATTTCACTCAAGTTACATCCATTTATCTATAAAACTCTCAAGTGTTTATGTCTGAGTAGTGCTCCATTGCATAAAAATACTGTATCTTTTTTTTCCTCTCTTTTTGAGACAGTGTCTTGCTATGTAGTTCAGGGTGGCCTTGAGTTCACTTTGAAGCCCAGACTCATTTTGAATTGACAAGGATCCTCCTGCCTCAGCCTCCTGAGTGCTGGGATTATGGATGTGCACACCACACCTGGCTAACACATCCTTTTTATCTATTCCTGGGTTGATGGGCATTTTGGTTGTTCCTAAAATTACCTATTACAAATTTTGTTGCTATTGGCATAGGTACACATATGTCACTGTGCTGTTATATTTTTCATTCTTCTAGAAAGATACTCAGAAGGGAAATAGCTGGGTTGAATGGGACTTCTAATCTTAGTTTTTCTGAGAAATATACACACTAATCTCCATGGCAGTTTCACAGTTTACACTCCAGCCAACAGTGGAAAGGGGTTCCTTTTACTCCTCAGACTTTCCAGCATTTGTCACTGCTTGCTT